TACAAAATATAGTATTGGTATGGTCATCGGCACCACAGACTGGGCATTCAGCCATGAACCTGCAATATTTTGTAGGACTGCCAAACCACCAGCAATTTCTACACTGTTGTGGTGTAGGGGTCACCTGTCGGACTTGTAAATGGTGTCCCGCAGTATAAACCAATGATGGAAGCCCATCAGTAAAAAATGAGCTATTTTGCGGGGATCTCTCTCCCCTGGGGGAAGCAGTAATACGTGCCATTTAAGAATCGGAGGTCTTGGAGCTCAAGTGTTCCAGAATATCACCACTCCGGGAAAAATTACGTTGAAAATGGTAAGGGGTTTGAAGACAGTCCCACGCAAGAATTTAGAGTGTTTTTTTATTTTAAAGGGTTTGGCATTATGGTTAAAGGGAAAAGGAAAGATCGTGAGCTTGGCTAGCATTCTGTACTGTGAAAATGCTGACCGTTTTGAGACATGAAATGGAATATCCCCAACATGGGAAGGAGTCCCTTGCTGATACTTGCCGAAAGATATTCTAAAGATTTGGTTGTGGGGTTAAAAAACTTCCCCAATGTGTACTAAATGCACAGAGTAAAAAAAGTAAATGTCTTTTTTGGTTTTTTCTGGTAGAATAGACTGTTGAAATTTTCTTTCAGAGGAAAGTCGGGGTTGTTTAGTACAGGACTCAAGGTGGTGCACGTTGAGGTGTGCATAGCCCAAAAACCTCACACTGTATGGGGAGAAGCCGGAAGCAAATCAAAATCATGTAGAGGTCAGGGGTGTCAAAGGGTTTGGGCCAACCCTCCATATCGGGGGGTTGGGAAAAAAATGTCACCCGCAAAGATACAGGGGCAGTAGAAGGTGCAAAAAAGGGCCTGGTAATGGGCAGGGTCGTCAAAGGGTGCGCAAGGGAAAGGGGGTCGGGAGGAGACAGTCATAGATTTGGGGATTCCGGGTTTAAAGTCTCTCTTTTCTTTTTTAAGAAAAAAAAAAAAAAAAAGAAAAAGAAAAAAAATAAAGAAAAAAAGGGGGTGAAGGGCAGCCCCCAGGAGGAAAGGCCAAAACAATTCTCCCTTCCATCCCCAAGAGGAAAACCCCTCATCCACCGGTAGTTCAGTGTGGCATGAAACCATGCCATTCCCTCCCCATAAGCCAGAAAACCCGGCAGTCCGGATAGCAACCTCACATCTACCAAGCCCCCCCGGGGGCAAAAGGGGGGGCGACGGAAAACCCACCCAAAGAAACCCTCCTTTGGCCCCCCCCACCTGAAACGACAGGCACCCCCAAAAGATAACCAGTCACCGAAAGACACCCAAAGCCTCCCCACGGTAGACTGGAGAGGGATCGGATCCTAGATGATCCAATTTTCCACGGCAAATTACTCCCCCAAGGGGCCTCAACAGAAGGAGATGGATCCTGGACCTTTCAGGTCGGGAAATTAAAAAGCCTAAGGGAAAACTAAAAGGGGCAGACACGGAAAGGGAATGGAGGGGGGGGAAGGAGGAAAAGAAAGAAGTGTGAAGAAAGGGAAAAGGAAGGGGGGGATGGGGGGAAATTTAGGTTCATTTTGGGAGAAAGACCAAATTTTAAATTCTTCAGGCTGTTACCCTTTTCCTGCATCAAGGACCCCCTTGACGGGGAATTTTAAAAAAAAAACCAGTCAAGAGCATCCCCTTTATTAGTGATGCTTTGGTATGTTTTATGTGGCCTAGAGATTAGTTGAAAAAAAAATCAAGTTATGGTTAATATCCCAACCCCAAAAAAACCACTTTGTTATTGACTCCCTTTTTTATTAACATTGAAAATAACTTCATAATTTATTAGCAGTACAGGGACCCCCCCTTCGTTTTAATCCTTTCCTGAGAGCCATGTAAGCCCAAAATTTAAGTAAGGCGAATTTTTTTCCCCCAAAGAAATAAGGAAATTAAAAATTTTTTGGCAAGACCCCCAAAAAGTATAAAAAAAAAATTTTTTACATAAAATTTTAATTTTAATAACCAAAATGAAAAAGACATGCACAATTTACTACCTACTAAGAATAGAACACATGCATTTTCCTTTATTAAAGATCTGGGTGATGATGGGATGGGAGGAGGGGAGTGTGGGGAAGTTGTTTTGTTTAAAAGGGGGAATCCCCTTCCTTTTGGACTTGAGGTAGCAAAGCCCTTTTTCCGGTTTTATTTCCCCTTTTCTTTAATGCCACTGGGCCCATTGAGTCACTACCCCCCCACCTGTCCATAGGCTCTGCCCCTCCCGTTCTTCAAGCTTTAAAAAGGGGCCATAACTTGTCATTGAAACGTTGCCAAACACAGCTTGCGTAGCGTTCAGGGTGTTTTTCATCCTTAAAGGTTTGCAGTTAAAACCCATTTGCACAATTTCCCTTAATCTCTTTTTTTAAATTCCCATCAAATTTCTTGCCTTTTTACCCGGGTGGCCTAGAAGCTTTCTTGGGGTCTATGGGACTTACTTTGCTTTATTATTTTTTTTTTATTATCCACGGCCGTTCCCCCCAAAAGGCAGGGGGCCGAAAAGAAAAATTTAATTCATTCCCCTCCATCACTGTCTTTGCCAGAAGGGTGCTTTACTACAGTTTTTAAACTGCAACATTAAACCCCTCCTTCAGATGAAGGCACTTTAATTTCCCATCCCCGGGATCAAGTCCGGCCTGCCGGTTCCTAAAATCCCTCATAAATGTTACTTGCTCCACTCAACGCACGTCAAGTATTAAAAACCATTTGTCTCCATTCACTCCTATCAAACACGCTCAAGCATGTGCTGGAAGTCAAGCCCTCGCACACAAACCTCCTTTACCCCCTCCAACCCTTCTAGGCGACCCAAACCCCCCCTTCACTTCATACAGATGATACACTTTGGGAAGTCATTCTGCTTCGGCTCCATTCTCTCTACATGTACGAACACCAACAACCCTTCCTCAGCCCTCTGGACAATAGTTTTGGTAATCCGCACCTCCTCCTAATTTCCCAAAACTCGAATTCTCTGCATTTATTCACACCCAACTTTGCCTCAGACATGACATCCCCACTGCCTCCAGCTTCTCCTCGCTTGCAACATATCATCACCCACCTTCACAACCCATTGAGCGTTGGTAAACTATACTCTTTCATACATTCCCCTCTTTGCCTCAAGGACAAAGTTCTTTGTCTCCACGGGATCCTAAGTGAAACACTCACTCTTTTTCCCTCAATCATTCTAGATTCACCTCATCTTTCATAGACCCATCCGTGAACGTCTCACTCCCAAATATCTGATACGTTCACCTCTCCTACTTCTCCTCCAATCTGATATTCAATCTTCATCACCTAATCTTTTGTTATCCCTTTAACCTTACTCTTCCTGATTCCCCTTTAATTTCTTCTTTTGACACCTACAAATTCTCCCCAATCTCTCAACTTCTCTTCAGAATCTCCAAGAGCACGTGTCTCAGCAAAGAGCAGCTTTTGACAACTCCCACTTTGTGTGGGGTTCTTTATCTTTAACTCCACGCCTCTGCCAAGACCTCGCTTTCACCTCTTTACAACCCCATCAATAAATAATTAAACAACACGTGACATCACACATCCTTGTCTAAGGCCTACTTTATGGGGAAAAAATTTCCTCTTTCCAAACATCCTCTAACTTGAGCCTCACTATCCTCTTTAAAAAATCTTCACTGTTTCAGTAAACCTCCTCTACACCATACACTTGAAACATCTGCCCATTGCCCCCTAATCCCCCCTTTCCCTCCCCTTTTCCCAAATAAATAAATGACAAAGACCTTTTACCCTTATCTAAATACTGTTCACTTAAAGTTCACTTAAACACTGGTCCACACACCCCCTACCTTTCCAAAGCCCCCTTGTTTCATCTGCTATCCTATTCCCCGTTTACTCTTAATTCTTTCAATTAAAAACTCTACCATACACTTTACCAGGTACCACTCAACAGACTTATCCCCCTATAATTTTTGCACTCCTCTTTTATCCCCTTTGCCTTAAATACAAAGGAAACTAGCATGCTCTTGCCAATCCCTAGGTCCTTTACCTCTTCCTCCCTTATTAAAAAATTTGCACCAACCACTCCAAAATTATTCCCACCTGCTTTTAACATTTCTATCTTTATCCCATCAATCCCGGCTGCCTTACCCCCTTTCATTTTACCACGCCTCCGAACTTCCCCACACTACAATGGCCTTTCCCTCACTCCTACAAGGATGTATTCCTCTTGCTTACACGAATCAAAGCTTCCATCTTCATCAACTTTTAAACAATTCCTCAAAATATTCTTCCATCTTCCCAATCCCTTTCTAACTCTCCATTTAATAACTCCCTTCCTATTTTTAACTGAAAAAAATCCATTTGTTCTCTAGGTTTTTTAAACTTGTTAATTCATCCAAACTTTTTCTTATTTTCAAAAAATTTGTTGATAACATTCACCCACTCTCTCATTTGCTCTCTTTTTACATTGTTAAACACTCTTTTAAACCCTCTCTCTTTTTTCTCCATATCTCTTCCCTCTTGCATCACTTCTACTTTGTAAAAACTTCTCATATGCTAAACTTTTTCTCCCTTACTACTCTCTTTACATCTCTTTCCCACAATCGCTCCTTTCCCCGCACCCACTTTCCTGTAACCACAAACTTCTGCTAAAAACACCTAACACTACATTTTTAAACCTCCCCCATCCTCTTCGACCCCATTGCCTATGCTCTATTGCCCCATCCTTCCCCCAAATTAGCTGTTTATATCTTACCTAACTGCCTCCTCTTTTAGTTTTAAAAACCTTCACCTCTTTCCCCTGATGCTTTATTCTCTTGTACCCCATTACCTTTTACTCTCATGTGCTCAACTAGAAGTGATTGATATATCTGTGGCCCCTCTATAAACCTGTACACCCCTGAGCTCCCTCAACAGTCTTTTTTCTACCAATACATATCCAACTAACTATGTCATTTCCCCTACATCATATGTGTATATTTTTATCCTCTTTTTCTTAAAATATGTATTCCCTATACTAACCCCTTTCTATACAAAGTTCAATCAAAGGGCTCCCATTATCATTTACACCTGGCACCCCAAACTTACCTACCACACCCTCTCTAAAAGTTTCTCCTACTTTAGCTTTCAAGTCCCCTACCAAATATGTATATGTGTAGATGCGACCGCACTGGCTGGCCTGTAAACACTAGCGCTGAGGCCACACATGGGATGCATCCCAGACGAATCACGTAAGGCGAGTTTTTTATCGTGAGGTGAGGCAAAATTTTTGCATTAAAATGTATCATATGGCAGATTTAACGTAACACGATGCCATCATAAGGTGGGGGGTCCACTGTATTTATCATTAATTCTACTAAATTTCAAACAAATAGTTTTAAGGGATTTATTAATTTTACTACACGTATACGGAAAGATTATAGTCATTAAATTTTAAATTTAAAAATTTAGAGAATACCTAGAGTACATCTGGAGAGGGTTTCAAGGGTCAATGCCCCCCTGCAGCCTGGTCTGAAACCAGGCCTCGTGGTACAGGGTCTGATCAACTAGGCTGTTACTGCTGGCTGCACATAAACCTATGTACGAACCACAGCCCAGATGATCAGGTACTGACTTTCAGTGCCTGTCCAGTGCCTTCTTGAAGACAGCCAGGGGTCCACTAGTAATCCCCCTCATGTATGCTGGGAGGCAGCTGAACAGTCTTGGGCCCCTGACACTTAGTCAGGATAATTGACCTAACTGGGAAAATTACTTTGGCCACCTCGAATGCAGTCAATGGATTAATCTTATAAATATTCAGAGCACTCGTGGGCATTTTCATTACTATTAAGTCTTTTGTGTCTTAAGAGAGTAGATTTTTTGGAGTAGCTTCTAAAACACATTGAACACTGGTATAATTTCTTACACACAGTATGAGTTTTAATATGTTTTGAAAGTGCAGATTTATCTGAAAATGCTCTAAGGCAAAAGGAGCAGTGATATGGTTTATCACCTGTATGAGTTCTTAGATGTATCACTAAAGAAGATTTCACTGAAAAACCTCTTGAACACACTGTACAAATGTAAGGTTTTTCACCTGTATGAACTCTCATATGTCTCGATAAATTGGATTTGTCTGGAAATGCTTTTAGACATACTGAACATGGATAGGGTTTCTCGCCTGTATGAACCTTCATGTGTATAACTAAATTAGATTTAAGTGAAAAAGCTTTTAAACACTCAGAACATTTGTATGGTTTCTCTCCTGTGTGAATTTTCATGTGTGTCATTAGACCGTGTCTGCTTAAAAAATCTTTGAAACATACTGAACATTTATATGGTCTCTCTCCTGTATGATTTCTCATATGCTTTATTAATGTAGACTTTAAGGAAAATGCTTTTGGACATATTGAACATTCATATGGCTTTTCTCCAGTATGAACTCTTGCATGAGTTGTTAAATTAGATTTTCTTGAAAAGGATTTTAGACAAACTAAACAAGTATGTGGTTTTTCACCAGTATGTACTTTCATATGATTTACTAAACCATGCTTGTCTTTAAAGCATTTTAGACACTCCAAACATGAAAATGGTTTCTCTCCTGAATGACCTTTCATATGTCTCAACAGAACATATTTATCTGAAAATCCTTTTTGGCACTCTAAACAAACATATGGTTTCTCTCCTGTATGAATTTTCATGTGTTGCAATAGAGAAGATTTCACTGAAAATTCTTCTGGACACTCGAGACAAGAATATAATTTCTTTTTTGTATGAACGCACATATGCTTCATGAGATTAACTTTTTGTGTAAAAGCCTTGGGACAAACTGAGCACTGGAATGGCTTTTCTCCAGTATGGACTCTCTGGTGAGTTATTAAATTATGCTTGCTTGAGAAATGTTTTGGACAATCTGAACATTGATAACGCTTTTCTTCAGTATGAATTCTCAAATGAATTCCTAGAGAAGATTCACTTTCAAAGTTTCTTAGGCACTGTGAACATTGATATGCTTTCTCTATTAAGTGAGCATTCATAATGAATTGTACTATTGTATACTCATTAAGAATTTAACAATACTTGATTTTTGCATTTATGTCTAACTATATCATATATATGTTAGAAGAGACTTAAAAAGGCATCCCTCTCCTGTAAATTATGTATCAGATATTAAAGAAAATTTATCAAACATATACAACCACAAAAAATAATTTTCTCTGTAGGAAAACATATGGGTTAATAAGTTACATTTTCATATATTTTTTAAAATTCTCAACACCATACTGGTTTCTCTTCTGAGCCTTCATACTTCAAGTTGACAACATTAACCCAAAAAACAATAATGTACTTGCTGTTATGAAACTGAAATGTATTATCATTTTAGGGTTATGCTTTATTACTCTATATCTGACAATCAGCATTAATACTGTAAATGCTCAATTTATTAATTAATGTATTACCATTGAACTTCACTGATGCTGAGGTGTCCTTAAGATGACAATGTATATATATTTAAGAAATGTTGATATCCTTTAAAAAAACGTTAAGCACCGACACTACGCACATACAATATCCTAACCACTTACATTACCTTTATAACGCTGTTTACCAGTGAAAAAATAAGCAGCAATAATTATTGCATTTTCAGAATGTATAAACACTCAATTCCCATAATTTCAGCATACATCTATTCAAAATCTACTGTAATCATTATTATTGTTATTTGCAAACATTTTACTAACACATTTTATTTTTTGTCATTTCAATATCTCCTGTAATATATTTATAGAATTTTTAGTTTAAAAAATAAAGAAAATTATCTTGTTCCTGTTTTGAACCCTTTTCAAATGTAAAATTATCTTATAGGCAAACATTGTCCTTTAATAATGCAACTATCTATATGTAGTTACAGCAGGAGCAGAGAAGTTTATGGTATCCCATCTTCTGTGTTTGGTCTTATCAAAGATTTTTAATGTTTCCAGTAGTTGTAGAACTTACTACATTTGTAAATGATTCCATTGTTCTAATACTTTGCAAAGGAAAGTGATATATCTTTCTGGCAGCTCTCTGTCTTTAATATAGAGTTATGGCTTCTTGTTCTCCTGCAGTACACAATAATGAGTGTCCACAATGCCACACTTAATCAACTTTTCCACAATACCAAATAAATTTATGCCATTCTACAGATAAAGTTCTTTTCCCAAACATACCTATGAGGAAAAAAAAAGTTTTTAATTACTGTTAGGAAATAGGATTTTACTACAGACATAATAAGTTATAAAGTTTAATGTTTTCATGGAACAGAAATTGGAAAGAACATAAGAAAGAAGAAACACTGCAGTAGGCCTACTGACCCATGCAAAGCAGGTCCATGTCATCCTCCAGCTTAGCCCAATGACCCACCTAGTCAGGTCACTTCCACCTAAGGATAAGGAGCATGGCATCAGACCTAGGAGCACAAGCTAGTCAGATCTAACTCACACCCACCCACACCCACTCATGTATTTATCTAACCTATTTTTAAAACTACACAATGTTTAAGCTTCTTTAACTGTACTCGGCATGATGGTGGCTATCTTTGTACTTAGCAAATCAATATTGTAATTACACATTGTAACCTTTACAAAGAAATAAACTAACTTATCTATATCACCTCGATCATATCTTCCCCTAATTATTATTATATTATAATCAAAAAGAAGCGCTAAGCCACAAGGGCCATACAGCGCTGCAGGGTAGGGAAGGAAGCAAGGGAACTGGATGGCAGAAGGGAGGAGGGATGATCAGCAGGTTACAGAAAACAGCGGGGCAGGGGATAGTACGGGGGTAGAGGGTAGCAAGAGATTGAAGTAGAAAGGGCTGAAGGTATCAGAATTTCTGAAGTAAGTCAGTTGTTGTCAAAAAGTCAATGAGAGAGTCCGGATGAAAGGTGGGTCCATCAGCGAGAAGGGAAGGTAAAGAAGAGGGAGCGGAGCGAAGACGACGACAGAAGTAAATTCTGCGTGCTCGTTGATAAAGAGGGCAGTCCAACAGAATGTGGCTGATTGATAATGGAGCTTGGCAATTCTCACAGAGAGGAGCAAGACGCCTCTCCAAAGAGATATCCATGAGTAAGAGAGTATGGCCAATGCGAAGACGGGAGAGAGTAGTCTCCCAACCTCGACACTGGTGATAAGAAGACGCCAGTAACCTATACTCGGTTTAAAGATTGAAGTTTGTTGCCGAGCATTTGTAGACCAACGTTGTTGCCAACGGGTGTGAAGGTGGGAAGATATTGCAGTAAAATAGTCCCCAAAATGGAATCCTCTATAAGAAATTGGATAGGTCATGTACTGCTGACCGCGCAGCAGTGTCTGCCTTTTCATTGCCCTGTACGGGCAACATGACCAGGGACCCAACAAAAAACAATATCTTTATGCTTGGAAAAGATGCGCGTAGCCAAAGTTGGATACGGAGGACTAAGGGTGAGGTGTATCAAATTTTTGTATAGCCTGTAAAGCACTAAGGGAGTATGAGACAACCACAAATGATGACACAGGCCCTAGATGCAATACGGATAAGTGCTGTAAGGATGGCATATAATTCAGCAGTAAAAAAAACTAGCCGAAGATAGTAAATGCCCTTGTCGACGCTGGTCCGGAAAAAACTGCTGCAAATCCTACGCCGTCAGAAGGGCTTTGAGCCATCTGTGTACACAGCAATGGCATGAGAATGAGAGTGAAAGTGGTCAGAAAAAGAGAGCGGGAAGCGACCATAGACAGTTGGGCTTTCGAGCAAGGGAGGGAGAAAGAACAGACTCGAACAGCTGGAACTTCCCAGGGGGGTAGGAAAAGTGAGATGCTACTGTACATAGAAAGGTGGAAATTGAAGAGAAGACAAGAGCGAATGAAGGCGAAGAGAGGAAGGGACGGAGTAAACAGGGGCGGCGAACAAATAAAAAGAATGTCTATAATATCAGGGACCATTCTATAAATGGAGGATTGCGGAGATCATGAGAGCGTTTCATAGTAGCGCAGGCAATGGGCATCACGGCGATCGGATAAGGATTTGGAACGTTCGCTTTGCATAGAGCCTCGACAGGGGAAGAGCGAAAAGCACCAAGGCATAAACGTAATCCTTGGTGATGAATGGGGTTAAGGCTAGAGTAGCAGGAGATGCCGCTGAATAGATCTGGTCACCATAATCAAGTTTCGATAAAAATAAGGGTGGAATGTAGCGAAGGAGGGTTCGAACGATCAGCTCCCCATGAAAAATGAGCAAGGGTTTTAAGAAGGTTCAGCCGGCTGTGACAAGTTGCCTTCAGGAGGTAATGTGAGGTTTCCAGGGTAACCTACGATCAAAGAGGAGGACTAGAAACTTGACTGTATCACGTTCAGGGATACGGAGGCCATAGAGGTACAAAGGATGATCGGGGATGACAGAGCGTCTAGTGAAAGTGATTTGGTGGGTTTTAGTGCTTGGAAATTTAAACCCACGTGGGGTGGCCCAATTGGAAACACGGTCCCACTGCATGTTGGAGAGAACTGTAATGAGGTGACAGTCAGGCCTGCACAGGCAAGCGAAGTCATCAACATAGAGTGATGACCAAATATTTGATGGAAGACTAGAGGCCAAAACATTAAAAGCAAGGAGAAAAAGTGTGGCTCAGAACACATCCTGGGGGACACCTTCAGCTTGGATAAAGTCCGGGGAGAGCACATTATTAACCCGAACACGGAAATGCCTGTCAGTTAAAAAAATTCTTAAGGAAGGATGGTAGATTGCCTCGAAGGCCTAAGGAGTGGGCTTGGGCTAAAATATTATACCTCCAAGTTGTGTCATATGCCTTCTCAAAGGTTTAAAAAATATGGCAATAACTGAGTGGTTATTCGCAAAGGCATTACGAACATACGTATCCAAGCGTAGTAAGGGGTCTATGGTAGAACGTCCCTTTCGAAAGCCATATTGACGAGTGGAGAGACTGTTGTGTGTCTCTAAATACCACACTAAAAAGTCTATTTACTAGGCGTTCCATTACTTTGCAAACTGCACTGGTAAGAGCAATGGGACGATAGTGGGGAGGTTTCATGTCCCGTAGTGCCTGGTTTGCGGAAAAGGGAGAACAATGGCGGATTTCCACAGCTGTGGAAGAACTCCTTGTGACCAAATAAGATTTTTAAAGGCGTAATAGGACTGCAAGGGGGACTGATTTTAAATGTTGTAGCATACGAATATGAATGTCGTCGGGCCCAGCTGCCCAAAGATCGACAAGCTGAGAAATGTTGCCTCCAGTTCTTGAAGTGTAAAAGGCACATTTAACTGTTCTTCTCTGAGAGAAGAAAAGTCCCAAAGGGGGCTAACTCTCTGGCAGACTTTGAGGAAAGAAATGAGGGGCATAGATGGAGTCCCTGAGAAAAACGGACCAGATGATTGCCAATTTCATTGGCAACATCTAGTGGGTTTGCTATATCAACACCGGCAACCCGCAGACAGGAGCCGGGTCAGGAGAATATTTACCACTCAGTTTTCGTACTTTTTTCCAGACTGCACTCATGAGGAAGCAGAGGTGATGGTGGAGACAAAAATCTCGCCAGCAAGTGCGTTTAGCGTCACGGATGACATGGAGCAGCAATCGCACACTTCTGTTTAAAATCAAGGAGTCGCTCTGTGGGGTTTTATTGTACCGGTACCTGCCCCATGCAGCGCGTTTTTAAACTTACTGCACGAGCACAAGCAGGAGACCACCAAGGCACGCATTTCTGAGAAATGCCTGCCCGAAGTTTGGGGTAAGAATGAGAAGCTGCGGTGAAAAGGAGGACGAGAAGAGGTGTAAAGCTTTATCGATGGAGGACGAAGAAGGAACCTCTTTAAAAACAGTTAGGTGTGAGTAAAGGTTCCAATTTGCCCGATTAAATTGCCAGCGTGGGGTGCGAAGAGGTGGCGAATATGAAGGGGAAGTAAGAATGATTGGGAAAAGATCACTGTCATGTAAGTCCGGGAGAACAGACCAAGTGAAGTCTAATGCGGCGGAGGGGAAAAGCAGACTGAGAGATCAAAGCAAGAGAGGGGTAGAGTCCGAGGATCAAAATGGGCGAGTACCTGTATTTAAAACATGGAGGGGGTGGGTGGCAAGAAAAGCCTCTAACTGAATTCCAGGGAATCACAGTGAGACCCCCCCCAGAGAAATGGGGGCATTAAAATCACCAAGTAACAGAATCGGTGGCGGTAATGACGAAACAAGGAAGGCAAAATCCGGAATAGATAATGCCCGAGAAGGATGAGATATAAAGAACAGAGTGTATACCACCTATGTAAGTGGATACGGGGTGCTGTGTAATGCGCGAAGTATGACAAATAGCTGATGGTACGGGAAAATCAATGTGGAGAAGAAGGGGACTTTCATTAAAGGTCCCATCAGGAAAAGGATTCTGAAAAATACAATAAATTATAGCCTGAGATTTTGAGAAAAAAGCAGAGTGTAATTTTGGTTCCTGTAAGCAAACACCAACAGGGGCAAACTGGGAGAGTAATTTTGAAGCTCACCCCGATTACCCCTGAGGCCGTGTATATTCCACTGTAAATAGGCCATGATTGGCAATGATAAAGATACTTGAAATCCCCAGGTAAGGGTTCCTACGGACTAGAAGGGTTAGAAAGTCCACATGCGGAGGCAGTGGAAAACGTTCAAGCACGAAGGAAACGGTGCGCTGTGAAGAAAGGAGTTGCGCAGATGGAGCAGAGGAGAGAGAAAGAGCGGAAGGTGGATCATTTTCCATTTATGGGTTTTGGTCTCTGCAATATATTCAGAGATTTCTTCAAGTTTTCGGAATTCAGAGATGTCGTATGGGAGACAACATTGGGAATGGTAGGGGGAGGAAGAGTAAAGATTGGAACTGTATTGGACTGTAACCGAGGTAGGGGGGGGCGAAAGGGTGGAGGGAACTGGAGAAGCGTGGAGGGGACAGAAGAGGCAGGAACCTGGGAGGTGGCAGAAGAGGAAGAACTTGGGGAGGGAACAGGGGAGGAAGGTACAGTACGAGGAGGGGGTGAACCTCTACACTTGTAACTGAGCCAGTGAGAGGGAAGAACCAGGGAAGAGACAGGGAGGGTTTAAAAAGAGGAGGTGGAAGATGGGTAGGAGGTGTTAACGGACCTTTTTTGACTTTTGAAAGTAGAGGACAATTGGGAGGGGGTGTCGTACGAGGTCTCGTCGATACTGAGGCTTGTGGAG